GTGATAATGCAGATTCCTTCAGTCTTCTGAGGCACCCTGATACCAGTTGATATGTTAATTTGAAGCACAGGACCCTGCAAGTTCCTTAACAGAAGTCTGCAAAATATATCTGACTCTTTTCCCAAACAGTCATAACAAGTTATGTCCATCAGAAATCATAAATTTGAGGTAGGAAACGCTACAACAACAACAAATAATAATAATAATAATAATAATAATCTAGAAGAACTAGAATAGCAATTGATGATACTAAATGAGATTTTTTTTGGCAGCCATCTTGAAAAGACCTAACTGCAAGGGCACATGAAAGCCACTATTGTTTGTTTTGGGAGTTACTGAAAAGAGGATATCCAGGTATTTAGTCTAACGGCTAATAAGAACAAACAAATGAATTTTTATACCAGAAGGCCTAAGCCACAAAACATCTATAGAGCAGTTTACCAGTAAGTTAAACAGTTGTGTCAATTTACAGTAAATGGAGCACAAGTACTGACTCCAAATTAAAAAAAAAATCATATCTTAAGAGTAAAATACTCTGTAAATCAAAATGTTATGTACTTTTTCCTCAGTTACTACAAACCTGTGAATATTCCTGCTTATTTTCTTTAGTSTTTGCCAAAAAGCAATGTTCACTCTAAGGGTGCATTGCACCTTGGTAAACATTTCCCAACAAATATTGTGATGACATTTTAAACATTTTTTTTTTAATAAAGAGGAGTAGACCGCACAGTGCGATGCGATTGAATAATAATGGTGTTAAAAGGGTAGGTACCCTAAAGAAAATCTTTATGCCAGGACAAAGGATTTAGGATAAGCACATTTTTTATTCTATTTTAATTTATTTCATTTTATTATTTTATTTTTGTATTAACTGCTTCAACATGCACTGAAAATACTTAATAAATGTTTGTTTTGTCATTTTTACCCAGAAATATGAAGCACCTAGTGTTACTGCATTTGCTGTTCTTCTTGCCAGCATTCTCAGCTTCCAGTTATGGTAAGTATGCTGCTAAAATATTTGTTCTTCTGTTGAAACTACAAACCTTTGATAAGAAATAATGTTTACCACAGCTGATTATTTAAAAAGTTGAACATTACTATAAGTATAGGAACTCATTGGAATAAAACAAACAGAAGATAATGATTTATTTTTCAAATAAGCCTTTTTTTTCTGAGAAATTGTTAAAAAATGAAGAAAGAAAATTGTTTGTTTCCAAGTTTGCATGGATGGGCTGATGTATTCTTTGTGACCATTCTGGGTAAGGTGGGTACAGAAAATGGGTGGTTGTACATAAATTGATACGTTATACTGTACTACATATTCTTATAAAAGCACAGTTCTCCAACTTTCAAGCTGCACTGTAGAATGGCTGTAGTAAGTGGTGTCCGTCTTGCTAAAAGCCACCTTTAAGATTGAAAATTTTGCCTTTAACCCAGTAATGTATTTCATGAAGTTCACACAGGTGAATGTACTCAAAATAAGTCAAATTTGAGTAAACATTTTAGATTTCATTCATAATATCCCAGCAGCACCTTCATTACTCACTTGAGCCATGGAKCTTTGTCTCTACCTGCTGACTCTCATCAGCTCCTGCATCATAAGACATGAAGAGGGATTCAGTATTGGTTTTTACTGCCA